CAAGATTATGCGGCTACTATATAAACACGCTGCATATGGAAGAAAATTCATGAAAAGCAGGTCTACAGGTTTCACTCTGTCTCTAGTGAGTGAGAGACTATTAATAATTCACTAATGTCTGGAGCTTGCATACATTGATACTATTTCTGATGTGATGATTTCGAGTGAAGTTTCCAAATGCACATCCAGCTGCATTGGGATGCATAAATTTGTTTTCTTTATTGCTTCCCTGTTCAATCCGCGTGGAAAATAACTGCGTTAATTTCTAAGGTTATGATGATTAAGACTAGATTCGCAATCTAACCTCACTGAAGAAAGTGAAACTGGGAAGATTAACGTTTGCTTTTCTGATCTTTCAACTTAAAAGTTCCATTTTTTTCTTTTCACTTAAACTCATTAATCACACAATCATGCGGACTTGATGAAGAATCTTCAAGTAACTCTCTCCTGAATCCATGATATGAAATGAGAGGTCGTTTAGATTCTAGATATTGGCCATTAGGCCTTAGCCTACAAGTTCTTCTGTAACTAAGAGATATAAAAAACATTTTCAGGTGACAAAGGAACAACTTCCATATGGCTAAATGAAGTGAATACTAAAGGCCAGCCTAGCCTACAGGTTTTAGTTTGCTGTAACTGAGGAATGTCAAAGCATTTCCAGATAAAGTAAAGATTTAAGGAACAATTTCCATTAGGCTAAACTGAGAAAGTACTAAATAGCATGAGCATTAGTAAATTAAAACATGCCTGATTCTTCTAATCAAATTGCTGGAAACCACCACCTCTAAAGTCTAAGCAGAGAAGCTTATTTCTGTTCAATGCAAAACAACGAAGATTGTGAATGAAAATTGATACATGACTTCCCAATTTGAATTGGAATGTAGCAATTGACCTTGTCTATAAGGGTCTCCGGATGCAACAACTCCAACTTAAAGTCGCGCATGTGCCGACATAGTTTCCAAAGAAAAGAGAGAAATTTGAACTAGCATTAGTTCTGTAAAGAAGTCTCTACGTACAAATTTTGCGCTACCAATTACCATCCGAGTACTTTGGCCTGTTCATAAGCAAACATTGTCATCTAAGAAAGAAAACTTATACTCCTACATAAATATTTAAGCCTGTTAAAGCGCTTTCAGAATAAGCATTACAATTTAGTACAACTTCACAACTGTGAAGAGAACATTTAACACTTATTAACTGTAGACTTCACATAAAAGTGAACTGCCCCTGCACTCTAACTGAGGAAACACGTCACCAGTAATTCTAATAAACAGAAAGCAAGCTAATGCTGTTCCTTTCCATAATTGCAGAATTGGTTCTAAAAGTCTTCTCTTTTTGTTTCTCTCTTTATACCATGAAATGGGGAGAAATCCCCAAGGATTAAAGTAGGATCAACTCCCCCTAAAGAGGGGACATAATTGCTGGGCCAAAGCCTGCACATCCTATGTTAAGTTATAATTTCTACATACTAAGGCAAATAACAATCGTATAAGACTTCAGTAAGCAATTACTTCTCTAGCTATTCGGTCTTTGAATGTTTAAAAGAGATGATGTTATAATCGGAGTTTACCTTTTTACAGGATGGAAATGACTAATAGTTTCAGGGATTAGGACAATGCATCTTGGCTTGGAAGATATCCCGTACATACCCCCAACTGCACCATCCCCTCTTGTATCCGATGTTTCAATTAATTATAAGAAACTAAGAGGCAATTTGCAAGACAAAGATAATGGTATTCTTGCTGGTCATATTTTAAATGCATTTACAAAAAGAAAAAGAAAAATAAAAGATATCAACTACTTCTTCAACGGTAGTAGGTGTCAAACTTTGTTAAGAAGAATACCCTTGCAGAAATAACAAGCATTTAAATGAAAGAAAAAAAAATTGCAAGACAATCTTAGACCAAAGCATTTTCACTACGGCTAGAAAATTCGTGTTTTGGAGTCATAGTCATGGTGGAATCTTGGAAAGGGGTAAGAAAAAGCAGCATGGAAACTTTTAGGAGGTCTCCCATTAAAACAAACCAGAACAGAGTATAGTCAAGCAAACTCTCCTCACTTAATTGGGTCATTGCAAGTTTGGGATTTTTCCAGTATTGAAAATAATCATATAAACCCAACTGTCCATACCAAAGAAATTGATGTTCTTGCTTGGACCCTTTTCCACTCCACTCTTTATCTTTTTAATATTCGCACACGTAAAGCTTCATTTGACAAATAGGCGCAAAAGTTCGTCTTTTTGTAGTCTTCTCCAAAAAGGAGGGCCCAGGGTGCCTTTCGTATTGGAATTGAATTTATCCCAACTACTGCCACATAACTTGTCGGGCACGCAGTACATTTGTTGAAGTTGAGACGTTCGATGAAGGCACAGCAACATGACTTTTCGGAGTTCTTTCCCGTTGCAATGTTGGTTCACGTTGCACATGTGTGCATGGATCTAAGCGTGCTTAAGCAGTGTATGAAACTGCATGTGTGATAATTTTATTTCATAAAATTAATTTAATTTAAATTTATTATTAAATATTAATTAAATTTTTAATTATTATTTATTTATTTTTAATTATTTTTATAATTAATTTTATTTTTAAGTGAGTTATTTTAATTTTATATTATTTCTTGTAATTTGATTATTATTTATTAATTTAAATTTAGGGTTTAAAAATTAAAGTTTTGAAACATTCAAAAATCTATTTGCATATGTTTTAGTGTTTTGATCATAATTCGCACCATAGAACTCCAAATGATGTAATTTTTAAACATCGGAAAGCTAAAAAATATAGTTATAATTTCATGAGATTATTTTACTAAGTTCTGCTTCGAAGCTAGAAAAAATTGTGTTAGAAAATGGTTAGATGTACTGTATGGAGAATGAAAATTTTTAAAAATCAATAATTGATTTTTTGAACCTCTCAATATACTTTTAAGTCCAATTAAATCATAGGTCAACTTAGAGAACTATAACTTAAATCTAATAGTATAAATAAAATATTTTTAAGAACATTAGGGAGAGACAATTTTTGGGAGATTCAAGAAGCTAGAAGTTGAGATTAAATCTTGGAGATTAAGGCAGCAAATATTTGTTTTGTTTTTTTCCTTGGCTTTTATTGTTCTTGTCACTCCTAATGGTTGAAATTATTATAATGTTATTTATATCATGAGTAGTTAATTTTTTTTTTTTAGAATTTCAATTAAACTGACATGTAATCTAAATTTTTAATTTTTTTCTTACTTATCTTTAATGAAAATTGAATTGTTTATCTCAATTTATTATTAATACTTTTAATTGTTTGGTCACCAATTACATTAATTTAAGAATCTACAAACTTGAAAAAGAAAGTTTAGTGTAAACTAAAATTAGGTTTTCATGATATATTAATTAATTTACGTATAGAATAGTGATATACCCATAAACCATATGTAGTCAAATTAAAATCTGAATTTAATGAGTCTATTTTAATTTCAATTCACATATAGATATAGTGTTTTGATTATAATAGATATTTTTATAAGATGAATTATATGATTTTTATAAATAATTGAAGATTTTAGATTAATAATGTAGGTATCAAACTTTGTCAAGTAGAAATAATATTGATCTTGTCATACCCATGCTGAAATACAAGCATTTTAAATGAAAAAGAAATTGATGAATCAAGAAATTGAGACATGGCGGAAAAATTTTATGGACATACATAGTTCTACCCATTCTCTCGCTGAAAGGAATTAATCATTTCCACCAGAGCACGTTCTAAGAACGGACATGTCCTGCCCCAACTTTCCGCCATTCTTTTCTCACCAATAAAACATTGTCACGTTGTATAATAGGAAGCCTCGTTAAATTCAAAACTATGATTAACTGTCTCTACTTACTCCCATTTTTTCGCCGATGTGTGCTGGCTTTTGATCTTTTGATGCCCATCTCTTCATATTCTCTATTAAAACTTCAATATTTTTGAAAGGCAAATGATTCATTGATAAAGCAAGAAAGAAAATTTTTCTAAACTTAAAGTGTGAATTTTTTATGAACCCAAACTATTCAACTAGATGGACTTGTACTTGACTTAATTCATCTCAAAACAAAACCAGAAAGCTCGATGAACCAACCTAACAACATAAACAAGGCAATGGTGCCCGAGGCAGGGAGAGGAGGTGACAAGGATTGACCGATGCTGACGTGCTCTGATTGATAGGTAGAGATTAATGATAACATCCACAGGAGAGGGAACTGTGAGTTAATTGCTTAGGATAATTTGGGTTAGTGGTTTAGTTTGTGCAATTATGTATTTTTAGGGTTATGCTACCAAGGGGACCGCGCCTAGGTCTCGAAAACGCAACTCTTTTGTACTTTTGATAGGAGTTTAACCATCGATTGCTTCCTTTATTGAATTTATTACAACTTTCAAAAAAAAAAACAATGAAATGGTAACTTTTAAAACCACTACAAATTTATCAGCACAGGGACAGCCATTCGAGAGAATCTAAATCACGTGGCTATGAATAATAGATAAAAGTAAACATAGATGCCAAGCCATATATCTTGTCTCCAATTTCCAAGGCTATCCTCCGTCTACGTAATTTAATTCAAAGATAATGCTTTAGTTTTTTTTCCTATGATTTATTTTGGTTTCCCTCATTAATGTTTATTTAGTTCTTAATTGGATTAAACTGATACATATAAAACAAAAGTTCCTTATAAAATCCGTAACCATAAATTGATTGACAGAAATATAAAGACTTGAGAAAGAAGTCGTAAAGGTGCAAAATTTGTTGGGAGCTGTTCATTATTTTAATAAACAAGATTAAACTTTTAACTGGAGTTTACTGATATACTGTTCTGCTTCTTTTATTACGTGAAGTGACAATGTTTTATTGCTGAAACAAGAGGAGGCACATAGTTGGGGCGGGCGGGAATTGGGGTAGGAGATTTTCCTTCGGTAGAAAATTCGTGTGGGGTGTTGTGGAAAGGCGATCATGGACAGAGGAAAGAAAAAGCAGAAGGGAGACTTGTAGGAGGTCTCCCATTAAAACAAACCAGAAGACGGTGTAGTCAAGTCAAGTCCGGTTATCTCATTGCGTCATTTGCAAGTTTGAAAATTCAAGCATTGAAGATCTAGAAGGAGAATAATTATAGAAATCCGAGTGGAAGATATTGCTTGGACCTTTCTCTACGCCACTCTTAACATTAGTCAAGCTTAAAGTTCGTTTCACATGACAAATTTTTGCAAAGAGTCATCTCGTTAGTCTTCTCCAAAAAGGGGGAGAAATCCTATCATATTGGAAAAACCACAACAAACATGGCCCATTCTGGAGAAGGTGGAGAGGTTTCCGCTAAACCCTCCAAACTACAACAGCATCACTTCTCGGAAGAATCCAAAACCCTCCGACGACAACTTACATAACTTGTCGGACGGGCACTAGTATTGTTATATTTAGGAAACACAAGTACACCTAAACACCCAAGGTTAATTGTTTCACCATGTTTCTACAAATCCTCCTCTTCGTAGCCCTTTATGTAATCACCACCCATTTGCTCCACAAGTTTCAAAACCATCCTCCTATCCCTTTTCCCAGTTTACCCATCATTGGCCACCTCCACCTTCTCAAGAAACCTCTCCACCGTTCCCTAGCGAAAATCTCCAACAAACATGGCCCAATCCTTCTTCTCCATTTTGGCTCTCGCCCTGTTCTCGTCGTCTCATCTCCATCCGCAGCGGAGGAATGCTTGGGCAAAAACGACATCGTCTTCGCCAACCGCCCCCATCTTCTATTCGGGAAGCATTTGGGCAACAACTACACCACTCTTGCCTGGGCCCCCTACGGTGACAACTGGCGGAATCTGAGGCGTATATCGTCTCTTCAACTTCTCTCAACTAACTGCCTCCAGTTGCTCTACACCACGCGCCTTGATGAGGTCCGCTTGCTTCTTCGCAAGCTGTTCGAGAATCGAGATCGGACGGTGGAGGTGAAATCCGCACTCTTCGAGCTGATGCTCAACGTGATGATGCGGATGATAGCGGGGAAAAGATATTACGGTGACAACGTGGCAGAAGTAAAGGAAGCGACTAGATTTCGTGAAATAATGACTGAAACGTTTCTTTTGGCTGGTACATCAAATATGGGAGATTTTTTGCCTCTGTTGAAGTGGGTTGGAAAGAGCGAGAAAAAGATGATAAAGTTACAGCAGAAAAGAGAAACATTTGCTCAGGAGTTGGTAGAAGAATGGAGAAACAGAATGAGCAATAGGAAAAGTTCTTTAGTTGGTGAAAAGAAAAAGACCATGATTGAAGTGTTGTTGTCTTTGCAAGAAGAAGATCCTGAAAACTACAAGGATGAGACCATTAGAAATCTCATGATGGTAAGATGCTAATAGTTCTAATAGTTTTTTTGTTTTAATTTGTTCTTCTTTTCTTTCGTTAGACAGTGTCCTAATATGGGTCCTTGAATGGGACAGGTTTTACTTCTTGCAGGAACAGATACTTCAGCGGGGACATTGGAATGGTCTATGTCTTTTCTTCTGAACCATCCGGAAGTACTGGAGAAGGCACAAACTGAGATGGATACGGTGGTTGGACAAGGTCGGCTGATGGATGAATCAGATTTGGTTAATCTTCCTTATCTTCATTGCATTATAAGGGAGACGATGCGAATCAAACCTGTCGGTCCGTTGTTAATACCACACGAGTCATCAAAAGATTGCATGGTCGGAGGGTATCGTATACCGCGTGGCACCATGTTAATGGTGAACTTGTGGGCCATACATAATGATCCTAACAATTGGGAGGAGCCTACAAAATTTAAGCCCGAGAGATTTGAAGGTTTGGAAGGCACTAAAGATGGGTTCAAGTTAATGCCATTTGGGTCAGGGCGGAGAAGCTGTCCTGGAGAAGGGTTGGCCATGCGGATGGTTGGATTGACGTTGGGGTCACTAATTCAATGCTTTCATTGGGAGAGAATTGGTAAGGAGATGGTGGATATGACGGAAGGGCCTGGCCTCACCATGCCAAAGGCTCAACCTTTGCAGGCTAAGTGTCGGCCACGCCAACCCATAGTTAATTTGCTTTCTCAAATTTAAACCAAATCCTCTATAAAGTTGTGTAATTTCCTCCCATATATTGGGGTTTATGGGATTGAAACTTTCATGAAAGCTGTAGACACTTTTCCTCTACTGATAACAGGTAAGAGCTGCTTGTGCCTGGCTCTTAGTCGTGGATTTTTTTGATATTGGCTTTACAAAGAATTAAGTATGTAATAATATTGCGGATATAGTGTGCTGATGAAGTATATATATAGACAATGGATGTGTAAGTTTATTATCTTTGCCTTGCTCTTGCTATGCTCTAGTTAATGATGCTGGGCAACTAGACTGAAAGCTGGATTTTTTCAGACCAGTCGCAAGTTGTTTGAGTACTTATGCGTCTGTTTTCATTGTTAAACTGAAATCTGGAAAAATATGAACACCTTGGCTCAATGTTTGGTGTTTCTATTCTTTCAAACTGAATACTGAAGTGGGATATCTGAGGCATCTAATTGTTAATGAGTCAAATACTTAGTATAAGTTATTCAAACGAATGAGGCATGAACCAGAGTCCATCTTATTTAATTTGATTTCAAAATAGAGCTGCTTCCACTTTCCTTTGGGAGACCATGGGTCCATTTAAGAAGCGTAAATATTTTTTTTAAAAAAAAATTCAATATAAAAGGCATCAAAATCAAAATTTTATCTGAATCTCTGTTAATGTAAAAAACAGAAATGGAGGAATACTTTGTTCGTAAACACGTGATATCATCATAATCCTCTTGACCAGTTCAGCATATTTGTTTATTGGTTGGGTAACTTTTAGTAGATGTTAACTAAGAAACAAAGTCTTAGTATTTCAACAACTGGAAAGCCACGGTCTGAAGCATGTTGTAGGAATTTTCACAATTTCCAACCTTCCCTGTTAATGTGATAAGAGCAATATTTGTGCTACTGCATATCGGATATGCTTGCAGGCTACTGGAAAAGAATGATAGAAATACCGCTAAACTGTGGTTAAGCTTGAGTCGTAAAAGGTTAAAATAAAAAATGAAGAATGCAACAATCTGACGTGTTTCTGCTTAATTTTCTATTTCACCTTTACAGGTTTGTTTGTTTCTCCCACTCTTGTTCTTATCACCTTCTAGTTACCACTGTACCAAAAAAAATTCATATGTAATTCCCGTTTTCATGTTTGTCGTCTACGAGTCATTGTCTTCATCCACTGTTTCTAGATTCCATTCGATGTTCTTCAGAGGAGGATAAGAGGAGGAAAAAAAAAGTTAGATAATAAAAATAAGGTTTTGCTCTTTTTATGAAACAGAGCATGCTACGGCTTTGAAGCTTGGTAAATTTCCATGGCAAGCTGGTATCTCTACCTACCTCTATTCTTAGCCTTGTATGTTTTCACGAAGCACTTCCTGAACAGAATTCATAACCTTCCTCCAAGTCCTTTTCCCTGTCTACCCATCATTGGCCATCTCTACCTCCTGAAAAAACCCGTCTGTAGGACTCTGTCAAAGATTGCAAATCGGAATGGCCCCATACTCTTCTTCAAATTCGGTTCACGTCCAGTACTCGTTGTCACATCACCATCTGCTGCAGAAGAATGCTTCACCAAGAACGACATCATTTTCGCCAATCGCCCCCGCTTGCTCATTGCGAAACACTTGGCTTACAACTACACCGCCCTCTCTTGGGCTCCGTACGGTGATCACTGGCGAAACCTCAGACGAATAGCATCCATCGAGATTTTGTCAACTAACCGCCTCCAATTGCTATCAGGCATACGCATGGATGAGGTAAAGTCATTGATGAGAAACCTGTCAGGCCATCCAGATGAACCGGTTGAATTAAGGAGAGCATTCTTTGAGTTGACTTTCAATGTGATGATGAGGATGATAGCAGGAAAAAGGTATTATGGCTGCGAGAACGTGGAAGATATGGAGGAAGCAAGAAGGTTTCGAGAGATTCAAGTGGAGGCACTGGAGTTGAGTTCTGCAACTAATATAGGAGACTTCTTACCGTGGCTTAAGTCCAGAAAGCTGGAGAGGAAGTTGATGGAGTGTGGAAAAAAGAGGGATAAATTTATGCAAGATCTGATAGAACAGCATAGAAGAAAAATGAGGAGTGATCCTGATGGAGAGAGGAAGAAGACCATGATTGAGATTTTGTTGTCACTGCAAGAATCAGAATCCGAGTATTACACAGATGAGATCATTAGAGGCCTCATGCTTGTAAGATCTCTGTTCCCTTCTCTGTTCTTTTGCTTATCGGTAAATATTAGTAATACAATATCTTTCTTTACTGATTTATTAACATACTATGACCTCATAATTTTTGGATAGATTCTATTGATGGCGGGGACAGAAACTTCAATCAATACTATGGAGTGGGCGCTTTCACTTTTGCTTAACAACCCGGACGTGTTTAAGAAGGCTCAAATTGAAATCGTCAACACTGTGGGACACGAGCGTCTAATTGATGAGTCCGACCTCGCTCAACTTCCTTATCTCCGCAGCATCATCAGTGAAACCTTGAGAATGTACCCACCAGTTCCACTGCTAGTACCTCATGAATCATCAGAGGAATGCATTGTAGAGGGTTTCCGAGTTCCAAGTGGCACGATGCTATTGGTCAATGCATGGGCCATACAGAACGATCCCAACATTTGGGAGGACCCAACAAGATTCAAGCCTGAGAGGTTTGAAGGACTAGAGGGCGCAAGAGATGGATTCAAGTGGATGCCATTTGGGTCGGGCAGGAGGGGTTGTCCTGGAGAGGGCCTGGGGCTGAGAATAGTTGGATTGACACTGGGGTCATTGATTCAGTGCTTTGAGTGGTCAAGGGTTGGTGATACTATGGTTGATATGAGGGCTGGAACAGGATTCACCATGCCTAAGGCTCAGCCCTTGCAAGCTCAATGCAGGCCACGCACAACCGTGCTTGAACTTCTTTCTCAACTTTGAACTGATTTAGCCTCCAAGATTTGTGTTTTCATGAAAATGTAGGATCGGGAAAGAGGATTCAAAGTTGCTCATTGGATAATTCAAGTACTATAAACAGCCATAAGAGCTCTCAGTTCTCAGGCAACTTGCAATGTTTTGTTGCCTACTATCGTGTGGTATAAATTACTTTTGAAGTACTTACTCGTTGTACTTTACACCTTGTTAGTTAAAATTATGTGATGGAAAGCCAAGCTTTTGCCCTGCCATTGATGACCACATTCCACCACGCTCGCCCTATGGCCCAAAATATCCCACTACGTTAGCACTGTGCACAAAAATAAGAGTTTTAGCAAGCTTTTGGACGACCTCACGCATAGAAACTACTGACTCCCTTATCCCTTTATCAAACTCTTCGCCAAGAACCAGATTTCTATCCAGCTAAAATTCAGTGACCGCGGTATTCACCCATAAGGCGTTTGCCTTTCTGCATAGTTAAATAAGCTATTGTGGCTAAATTCCTTCTTTAGAATAGAGATTCCAGGAAAAAGCAAGTCCTGATTCCACAATGGCATTCCTTTGGGGGATAAAAACTACATTGGTATTAACCTGCGAAAATATTACAATCATTGTGCTCTATTTACAAATTCAAGGGACATTGATCCAATACAAAATTCTCATAGACAACTAGAATCCCGTCTTTACCTTCTAATTAGTTAGTCAAGTAAAACTATTACATGTAGTCAAGTTGTGTGATACTTAGCCAAAACCCCTCTTCTTTAATATCCCTCTTCAGATTGCATTGTTACCACCTGGGTCATGAGCTTTTATCTAGTGTACTAACTTTGGCTCGATATGGTGTAGGAGCCACAGTAGTTTTTACCCTTGGACCCTGAGAGAACTCACAGGATTCACTAATTGAAGCCAATCTTATTTCAGCTGGGGGAATGAAACAGTCCATTGACAAGCCCGGGACATTGAATGCCACTTCTTCAATTGCCCATGCTTCTTCCATCCTGGTCCTAGTGTGGCTCATTGCAGTATCACCAAAGCGGAAAAGGGTCACTACAGAGCGACCTGAGTGAGCAATCATTATTCCCTCAACAGGCCTGTAATCCTCAAGGAATGAATTGATTGTAGTCTCCCAGTAGACAGCATCACCACCATTGTTCTGAATCCTAGTCAAATGTGAGTCTTCCAAGTGCACAAGGAGTCCTGTTTTCTGGCTGAAGTAGCCAAATAAAACATGTCTTATGATCTCAGCAGGTCCTTCACTCCTGGCCTTCAATGTTGCAGGATCTGCACACAGCTTGAGGATAAAGCAGTCCTCCCCATTTATCTTCTTTTCCCCAATGCATCTTGCATTCGTAAACATGCTTGCTGTTGTTCTTGGATCAAGACCCTGCAACAAGAATACAGTTTCAAATCGTTGGGTAAATGATTATGCATAATGAGGAATAATCTGAGATGAAAAACAGTGAATATGCGAGAAAAGGCAACTTTACCTGAAGTGCACGGCGCAGTGGTCTAACAGGCCCTTTAGCTGCATGTGCACCAAGCCAAGGAGTGTGCCTCCACACAAGCTTCCCATTGCACCCTGCATGAACCTTGCTACCTCCAAGTGCAAGCTCCACATACCACATGTCCGGATTCATTTGCCACAAGACAAACCCACCTGACTCTGCAGCTTTAGAAGAATTCCGGTTCCTTGTAACCTTGTTAGCCGTCTCGAACTCAGAAGCTATCATTCTTACCCTTCCCATAGCATAAGCATTATGGATGGAGTTTTGAAGCTTTTGCCCACCTGACGCAGCAGTATACTGCTGTAATATGTATTGAGCAGATGAAGATTCCTGCAAAATTATAAACTGAAACATGTTAAAGAGAGCTCCTTCTAGGAAATGCCGAGCCCTTAAACAAAAATATACTGAACAAATTCCTCCGTTTAGCTTTATTTCTCCCTATAGAGATCACCTGAAAGATACCAAAAAACCCGATCCAGATTGAAAACTAAGTAGAATACAGAAAAGCTTAAAACTTTAATAAACAACCCGACTATAATCCCATTAAAAATCACACCTCTTTTCTCCCCCTTCATCTATAATCTACTGAAAGTAAATAGCAAATCAAACACATCGCCAGAATCGGCCCTTATCTTCTGGGTGGATAAAGCCATCTCATTCAACTATCAAGATGCACATTTTTAACTGTACCTTGAATTCATTTATTGTTCTCTTTCCCATCCTTGGCATGAAAGGAAAAGTCAAACCCCACAATAGAATCTTAGCAAAAGATTTTTGATAACCCCAATTCCAGTACTTTCAGTAAAAATTTATTTAACAAAAGAAAATTC